GAGAAGATTCTTTATGAGATATTTTAGAGAGACTCAAAGGTCTTTCATTCTTGGAGATATTCAAGAACCATGGACACAGTCCTGGACAACCGGCTCTAGGTGGCCCTGCTCAAGCAGGGAAATTGGACCATATGACCTCCTAAGGTCCCTTCCAACCTCAAGCTTTCTGTGATTCTATGATTCTTTATGTTTTTCAGCAATATTTCCTAATAGACTGCAGATGGCTTTCTTGTTTACTTATTATTTATTTATTGATTTCTCCCCTTTCAAATTAACTAACAAAAGAATACTTCTTCCTATTGGTTACAGCTAGATACCATTATGTCTGAGATTCCCTCCAACTGACTGGCTTACATTGGTTACCAAATAGCTTTGGTTAATGTTAACTTACTATCATTTTCTGACCTTGAAATGTCCATTGAATTCAAAGTGTTACAAATTTGTTCCTTCCCCTTTGATTTGTAGTATATACCTGACCTTAACAAAGACTCAAACACTACTAACAAAATATTCTCTCTGTTGAAAGCTATGTGTAATTATGAAAGAGTACCCATCTCACAGCAGAACACATTAAGTGTCATCAAATGCTGTTACCATGTGTAAATTGAAACATTCAATGCGCATGCATTTTCAATATGCACTCTAATCCCTAACTGTTCATATTACAGATGGAAAGTTGTTCACAAAGCAGGCAGACCTCACAACTACTTTGCAGCACACTCTGGCTGATTTAGTCCTCATTTTTGCCACTCAAAACACTAATAACCCAATGTTTTTCATCTTGTTATGTATTTTTCCATCCTCAGAAGATGGGAGGTGAGCAATATCCCTAGCTATACAGGAGATTTTAACTCTCTTTATAATACAGGAGATTTTAGTTCTCTTTAAAAAGGCAAACAGGCCAGACAGGGAAATGCATATATTTGAAACGGCATGGTACTTTTCTTACTTATGATCAGCTGAGAAAGAAGGATAAGAGTCAAAGAAAATGAAACATACACAATGGAAACTGAGTATATTCCTGTATTTTGCTTCACAACCCAGAAAGTCCCCTGCATAGTTGACTTGATAGTTCAAAATCCAGTTCAGTGACACACATCGGATTCGAGAATCAAAGGAAACCCAGGTTTTCCACATGGGTAAGTCTCTGGAAAATGGTATACTTAAATCATCAATCTCCAATGTACTTAGACTGTAATTATGGCAACACTCTTCTCCAGTCTCTCAAAACTCCTAAGATGCTTTCAACATCGAGTGTGAAGTAACATTTGTTTTTTCAGATCCACTGCAGTACAGAATTAGTCACATTAGTCTTGAAGGAGCTTGGGAGGAGGGTTACAAATACAGGGAAATTCAGTCTTACCCACTAGGTGGACTGAACATAGGAGAGATCAGACATCCAAAGCTTTCAGGCAGTTCTTTCAAAGCACATAACTAGACTACACAGTGAATGAAGCAGTAGAAACTAGAGTTAATTCACAGGCTACATCAGCTGCATAGCAAGCAAGGAAGTCCTGGAAACTCACTACAAGATCCAAAGCTTATCTTTACAAATGGAAATGAATTCTAGGATTTGATGGAAAATTCATTTAACTTTAAATATCTGGTTTTATATAGCACTCTTCCCTGTTAAAATACTGCAGAATGAAAGAGTGCTGTAAAAAGCCACTGACAGTATGTCATGATCATTTGCATACTCAACAATTTGTCGAGTCTGGTGCCTGTCCCATACTGCTTTGAAACAAGTTTAGTATTAGAATCATAGAATGGCCTAGGTTGGAAGGGACCTTAGAGATCATTTAATCCAATCTCCCTGTCATGGACAGGGACGCCACCTCTCGACTAGACCAGGCAACATATGGGGACCGAGCGGGCATTGAACCCACAACCTCGGTGTTGTCACTGTTGTCAGCACTGCGCTCAACCCACTGAGTTAACTGGTCCCCTATAAGAGGCAGCATTAGACTCCTTGACTTTTCCAGAAGAACTTGTTGAATCAAAGGAACTGACTAGTCTGCAAAAAACAAGGATGAACACTGGAGAAGGTAGCTACAGGACCTTGTCATTGCTTGTTTGGGATATCACAGAATGAGTTTCACATATTTTATGTCTTTAAAGTTCTAGACGTGTCTAGTCATTGAAATTCTCTAAGGTATTTTCTGTTGGCAATCTGTATTCTAGCTCTGGGAGAACAATAAAACCACATTTATTTTCAAAACTATACCTTTTTTCTCAAACTTTTCACATTTTTCATTTTGAAGTTTTATATCATCCTAATATGTAAGAAATCACAGCACAGAACAGACCTATCCCTTGAAATGATCTGAAATCAGTATAAAAAAATAGAAACAAGGATACATAGCTTCAAATTAATCTGATGCAAGTTTTTAAATGATACAACCAAAAAACCTGAAGTGCCGAATGAGTAACAACTATCAAAATAATAAAAAGGCCATGGGAAAAGATATTATAAATACACTAGGAAAGGACAAAGTAAAATACAGAGCTATTACATCTGAGAGAAAGAAAGCAAATAACGGATGATACAAAGAAATTCCAATGTTCTATATTTTCACTTCTTCAGTCTTTACAAAAAAAATCATTGTGGCCAGATGCTTATTGCTATTGATCTGAAGAGAAAAAACTGCAAATCAGATAGCTGAAAGCTACTCTAATGACTAGAAACACTCAAGTTGTCAGAATCTTTTGAAATTCACTCTAGAGCACTTAACTAACTAGCTGAAGAAGCTTCTAATCCCTTATCAACTGTCTGGAATGGAGAGGACAGAAAAGAATAAATACAGTATCTTTCTTCAGAAAAGAAAAAAAGGAAAGTATCAGGTACTACTAACCAGCAAGACAGCAGCAAGAAAATTGGACAAAATTGTTAAATGAACAATTTACCAATACCTAATGGATAGAAAAGGTGACAAGAACCAACTGACATGAATTTATCAAGAATGAATTGCATCAGATCAGTCTCACTGCTTTCTCAACTGGGAAACTTGCCTAGTGAACAAGAGGAGGTAGATGTAAAATATTTCAGCTATAGTAAGACTCTGTTTACTGTCCTAGATGATACTCCAGTAAAACCTAATTAGAGAATCACATTCTAGGTGAAATCACTGCAAGGTAGATAAACATCTGGTGGGAAAAAAATGCACTTACTGAGTAGCTTTCAAGGGTTGGTTATCAGATCTGAAATGGAATCATGAAGAGGTCTGACAATATTTCCGTTAATGATCTGGATGAAGAAATAGAGAGCACATTCATGAAAGTGAACTTAGTATCAGTCTGCCAGTGATTTAAAGCACTCTAGGGGATCTAGACGATAGGATAAAAATTCCATATTATCTTGATAAATCATGAGAAAACATCAAGTACTAGCAAGTAGCAGTGAAGAATGTTTCATTTGGGAAATAACTCTGTGAAAATCTGACTCACTGACCAGGTACATTCAGCTTCAGTCCAAGTGTAGCACCCAGAAGAGCTGCAGTGGTTTGCACTCCAGTTAGAAAACTCTGTGGCAAAGAGGTACAGAATACTTAAAACTGTATTTTAGGTATAAGAAGCCAGAGCTCAGTGCAACCTACACAATATTCACAAGGAATGACAAAGATGTAGGATTGAAGAGTGGATTTACTCTTTTGCTATTGATCTCTCCTCTCTGATTGGTTTATATCTCTAGAGAGTGAATAAATAACCCTTTCTGAAACTGAAAAAAAAACCTGTTTCGGTATCTACGTTATGCTTGGTTACAAGTCTCTAAAGGGGAAAGGCTTGAAAATGACACTTGCACCCATCACAGTAACACAGTCAGGTAGTAGTGGGGCTGCAAATCAGAGATCCTAACTGGAGGTGGTTTAGCTCTTTAGAGGCACATAGACCAATTTACTAGAAAAGTATCCAAAAAGATCCCTGTACCTACTTTACTGTATTTTATATACATATATATGTATACACACATACACACACATATATATATGAAAATTGCTCAGAATATAAATGTTGTGATCAACCTAAAATATTTGAATCAGAATTTGGGCACACTAGTTTTGGGTACTTGACACAATTCAGAAAAATCTCAACATTCTCCACAAAACACATCTCCCATTCTTCATTCAGCTCTGTTTCTGACCTTAACAGCTGCAATTTCTCCAGTGAATCAAGAAGTGCCATGAATAAAATCTAATGAGAAAGACAACATTTCTCACTCAGATGTCTCCCAGACCACACCATAATTAGATATCATGTACCATGATAAACAGTACTTTTCATACTTTGATAATTGTTAGTAGTGTTTGCTCTCACCAATGTGATTCAGAACTCTATTATACAGGAAAAAAAAAAAAAAGACAAGCTATTCTTCACGTCCAATAATTCTCAAAACTACTCTTTACATGCATGAGTATGCTATTTTAAAATACTGAACCTGTTTTACTATGTTTTTTAAGGGATAATACTTGAGGTTTGTTGTTTTTGAGTTTGGTGTTATTTTGAGTATTTGAGATGCTTTAAAATACTGATCTGAATTGCTTCTAAAAAATGGAAGGAATTAAAATGGAAGGAACTAACTGGGGATCAAGGATATAAAATATTTAATTGATTTTCAATGACAGGTTTAATCTTCATCAGCAAGGTTAAGGTTTCACAAAGGTTAATCCAATCTAACTGCTACCACTCAAAGGAGCACTCTCACTGCTGCATATTCCCATCATTTTCCTTAAACCAGGATCTTGTGTTGATCTCTTTACGAGCTAATTCAGCTCACTCATCTGGCAGAAAACTGATGTAACAAAAAGTGCAGGGAAAGTAGTTTCAGTCAGCAGGAGAGCTGCTAAATTATCTCAGACATTCCGTAAACCTCATCAACAGTAACATAACTGCTGATGTGAATGAACTTGGTCTTCATTGAATAGAAGACCACCTTCTTGATATATACTCTAAATTACAATTCAGTCTGCATGGTTACATTAAAAAACTAAAATCAATCAACTTACTGCGAGACAGATTCTCAAGGGCTTTTCCAAGTTTTTTGCTCTCTTGAAGAATATGATTTAGTTCATCAAAATCATGGTTGTCCGGTTTTGTCCTCCAATCCCATTTAGGATGCTCTATTGACCTTGGCACTAAATATACACAGATATATAGATGAAGTTTAGATTTAGTAGTTCAGACTCCTGTGGTAGAAGAAAAGCTGCACAATGAGTTTATAAGCTCAAGTTTGTTGAGTGGAAAGTACTTAACTATCCTCCTAATTTAACAGCTGGAAATATTTTCTTCGGTCAGTGTGAAGTAAAAATGAAAACATCTATGAACAGCTCCACACTTGGGATGATTCTTGTGACCAAACTGATTGGTAAACAGGAATAATTAATATTAACAACTAAAAATAATGAAAATACAGTAATGGAAAAATGTCATAAAAACACTGCATAGGAAGGTATTTAATTTACATTCAATTAATAGACTTGTGTGTTCCACGGGCCGATGAGGAATAATGGCAAAATAAAAATGAGTAACTGGTAGTTTTCACTTTGTTAGTCATTTCATCAGAAAATAAAAAGTAAATAATTTAGATACAGTTTTTAAACCAACATGCATACACATTTTAAAAAAATGATCATAAAGTGTAGATAACATTACATATAAAAACAGTGAAACAATGTGTGTCCCTGTTGTTCATAATGTACAGCCTATAATCTTTATTCTGATACTCACACAAATCTGATCTTAGGGAAGCACAGTCTCCTACCCATTATCTATTATCGAAACCTTTGATTTAATTTTGACCTAACAATTTCTCAACAGTCGAGCTAACTTTACCTACAATGGCAGGGAAGAAAAGGCGTTTCTGAAATACGTAGGACTCGCAGAGAACAGAGCTGCATTGACCAAGGTGAACATTTTATACGATTTGTGGAAATGAAAATAGAAAAGCTGTTGTCTCTGGAACTGCAGTTTAATACGTTCTTTTTTCCAGTGCTGTGAATTAAGTGATTTACTGCCTTAAATACCAAATGTAGTTTTTGGGCTGTCTCCAAACAAAGTACTACCATGCCAAGAACTGCACATGCTGGTGTGAAGATGATGATGCCTAGGATCCACATTACCAACAGTAAGGACCAGTTGCACTTATCAATGGTTGCTAACCACTCACTTTAAAACTTCAAAAGTAAAGCCTGCATGTCCAACTCATCCTGGTCAGCTTTGAAATTTTATTTACTAGTTTGACAGCTGTCAACGAATTCATGCTTACAAACTTCTTTTTTATTACATGATAAGGAGGAAACTTGCAGACTTCAAAAAATTGTACAAAAAAAAGTGATATCTGAAATACTAAATGATCATAAGAGTGCTTTTATGACTGTGCTCAGATTTGAGTTCACAGAATCACAGAATGTTAGGGGTTGGAAGGGACCTCAAAAGATCATCTAGTCCAGGCCCCCTGCCAGAGCAGGATCACCTACAGTAGATCGCACAAGTACTCATCTAGGTTGGTTTTGAATGTCTCCAAAGAAGACTCCACAAGCTCCCTGGGCAGCCAGTTCCAGTGCTCTGTCACCCTCACAGTGAAAAAGTTTTTTCTAATATTTTTGTGGAACCTCCTATGTTCCAGCTTGTATCCATCGCCCCTTGTCCTGTCATTGGACATCACTGAGAAGAGCCTGGCACCGGCCTCCTGACATTCCTCCTTGACATATTTACGAACGTTTATGACATCACCCCTCAGCCTCCTCTTCCCCAAACTAAAGTACAAAATGTGTTAAATGACCGTTGTTATTGAAATTTGTGTTATTGCTGGCTGCCTTCTGTGTGAATATAGAATCTGTTCCACTTTGGATCAACTCCACAAGAAAGAACTGAAGTCAGTAGCCATCTTTTCCAGAAATGAGGCAATGATATGTTTAAGTCCTTCTGTCACAAAGAACGTAATTCCATCTCCTGTAGATATAAACCAAGTCACCTTCAAACAGATTTTAATGTATTAGGGTATGACTAGCCTGTACTTAGATGGACAGCTTAGAGTTTTTGTTGATACTTTTAAATGACAATCATTTAATTCATAACTCCCTGGTTTAGGAACCACTATGTTAAGTTATCTAAATTTTTGTGTGACCAAAAATTGCCTCCATTCATAGATCCGAGCACAATTAACTTAAATAGCATAACTTCAGTATTTCTTATCTTTTCTGTTATTTACAGAAAATCAAATGTTCTGTCTAGTAGGTTTTCTAAATTTTTACTAAGTGTAAATATAAATATTTAGTGAACTAGAAATGAAATTGTATAATGAGGTCTTTTTTTGCTCGCCTTTGTTTCATACTGAGATCACATACTCCTTTACTGCTGTTTTTTATCGATCATCTCATTATCTCCCTAGTGTACTAACACTGTATTCTACAGCATCACTCACTTCAGTCTACTAGCAGTTTGACAGACTTTTCTTTCCATGTTTATACTGAAATCACCACATTACAGTACCACCAGAATAGAAACAGACAATAACTTCATAGAGTAAAACTATGTGCAAAGATGACCAAACCTTCTTAGAGCTTCCAGGTTCCAGAAAATTTCAAAATGTTGGAATTTGATATCACATCAATTTGAAACAAACTACATTTTTCAAAATACCAAAGGAGAGAATTTTTGAGAAATCGTACAATTTGGAAATAAAATTTGTCATAGGACACCAGCTGAATGAAACAAAAGTTCTACTCAACAGCTGTGGAGCTTCCAGGATCAGCAACTGCCAAACATATGGATCAACCTGCATCAGGAAAATGAGAGTATCAAGACTCTACCCTTGGAAAGCAGGGAAACTGGCTCAAGTGACAATGGTCAGGTCCCTAGTTTCAGATGAACATTCCACAAAGAGAGGGAGCTTGCACTGCATTTCACTAGATGGAAAACCTGTCAACAAAATAGTGGAAATTTGCTCTGCATGTTGGGATGCTACAGTTTGTGCTTCAGTGAACCATTTTGTACTTCACTGAAAGCTATGCTGTCACAGAATGTTTCTAAGTTTCAATAGAATTTGTTTCAACAATGAGTTTGGATCATTTTGTTGAAGCAAAACTGAAGGGGAAGTTAAGAAGAATTAGAACTGACCAAAATTCCCATTGCTTCTATAGAAGACATAGTTTTTACTTACCTACTCTTACAACTAAGGAATGGATACTAAAACTAAGATGTACTTCATTACATCATGTAGCACACATCTGTGTCCTTACAAGATTCATTTTCTGCTAGCTTATATGTGTTTTTAAAATATAAACTTGTGTCTTCCCAACTATTGGATCATTTTCAGATGGCTTTGTGTGAAGTATGCAGAACTGAATAAAGACCATATGACCCTTTCTTGAGATCTTTTGAAATATATGATCTTCTTCTGCATGTATGAAGTCCATCATAACTCATTTCCAAGCATACGTCACTATGTGCTTAGTAAAATCCTTTCATAATATTCTCATCTTCCTCTATTACCCTCACTCATTCCTCAAAATCATCATATCAGTAATTTTAAATCCCTCATTGCATTATCTGCCTCAACCACATCTTTGTCATTTGCAAGATTTAACACTTTCTTCTGTACTTATTTGCCTAAAATTCAGATTTCTTACATCTACATCATAGCATTTGTAGAGAAATATTCAGTTTTCCCTTTATGGAGCTGAGATTTCCCTGTCTCACCTTAGAAGACTGCAAAGACATGCTTTCCAGAATTTCTTAATTTTCTGGCAGTACACCCCCCCCTCAACAAATGCACATTAGGTTCTTTCATAGGTGTGTTATTAATTCCATCACAAATCAGCAGGCCTTTATCTTCTACTGGATGATGGTACAAGATAAGTTTTATCTATGTATGTGTGTCTTTCTAGGAAATGATAGGTAGACAAAATCAGACAGTTGCTCATTAAAACCTATATTTCATTAATACACTGTAGGATCATCTTACATCTCAAAGAACAAGAACATGTTTGTTATTATCAAGCTTAAAATTACCCATGTATTTAAATCTCACAATAGCATTCAGATAAAAGTTCTTCAATAATAGAGCCAAACTGGTTTACACAGTACTTGGATATTAAAAAGCTAAAAGAGCTATGGCCTACAGTGCTAAGCTGATCAAGAGCAATTAGAAGTACATAACATTGTAATTGTAAATGGGATATAGTGAGAAGGTGAATTGAAGCAGAGTGAAAGGATAATCTGTGATCTGATTTAATACAGAGTGGTGAAGAGATCAACCAACTTTGCCTAAAAGTAACCTGCTGGGAAGCAAGAAGTCCATTTCACAAACTATTCAGAAGCTTCCAGACTTGTTCTTCAAATACAGAACGTGATCATCTAAACATTTCATTAAATATATTTATATACACACAAACACACACACACGAAGCTCAAGCTTCAGGCATCTTCCTTGCCAGACAACAGCAGCAGCTTCTGTTTAATATTGCTTTTGCACACACCAAAAAAAGTGGTCAAATCCCTTAGATACCACAGGTTTTTCTGTGGTTGTTTCAAGTGCGAGTTAAATTGTTACAGGCAGAAGAAAGGACTGGAAGGATCTTTCCAGTAAAAAAGTTGAATGCATACAAAAGAAATAACGTGCAGTCAACATTGGCTCAGCTAATGGAAAAAATATTTCATAATTAAACAAATCAATTCTGCTGATGTCTCCAAAGATTCCTATGAAATGAAAAGTCTCAATTCTGAATGAACTGACAAGTTTGGGATCATTCAAACAAAACAGCTGTAAGACAAAAGCTCTGCAACAGAACATATTGCGGCTGATGGACTCCATTAAATTTTGAGTCCATTTTAGCAGTTTGGGGGGCTTTTTAGGTTGTTGGGTGTAAGGGTTGGTTTGGTTGATTTTTTGTAGCACAAAACTTAGACTAAATCTTTAGGTCTCAGCAGGCCCAAAACATTGAGAGCAGGTTGCTTAGACATTTGGACTCGATCTTAAAGGTTCATTCCAACCCAAATGATTCTATGACTATCCAGTTGAGTTCTGAGTATCTCCCAGGATGGAGATTCCACAGCCTCTCTGGACAACCTGTTCCAGTGTCTGACAACCCTCACAGTGTATTTTTATCACCTCTTGTCCTTTCACTACATACCTCCAAGAAGAATCTGGCTATGTCTTCTCTACAACCCTCCAGTGTAACCGTTGATGGCGACAATGAAATCTTCCCTTAGCTTCCATTCTTTTCAGAATAAATAAATCAATTTCATTCATCTTTTCCTTGTCCATCACATGCTCTATGTCTCTTAACATCTTGGTGGACCTCCTCTGGAATTCTAGCATGACATACTCCAGATGCCATCTCAAAAGTGCAAAGTACATGCTGCTGGCTATATTCTTGCTAACACAACCTAGTATGCAGCTCACCTTCTGTGCTGCACGAGCATAGAGACACAGCTCCTTCATATTCAAGTTCTTGTCCATCAGCATCCCAGGTCTTTTTCTGCTAAGCTACCTTCTAACCATTCAGACTCCAGTTTATACTACTGCTCTGGGTTACTCCATCCAAGATGCAGGATTTACATTTGCTTGTGTTGAACTTTGTGTGTGAGATTTCTCTCTGTCCATTTCTCAATCCTGTTTAAGTCTCTCTCTAAATAGCAGCTCAGCTACCCAGAATACCAGCCACTTCCCACAATCTGGTCTCACCTGCAAACCTAAGAGAACATTCTACCTTACCATCCAGGACATTAAGAAAGAGTTTTAAATGGTATTGGTCTCAGTACCAGCCCCTTAAGCATGTCACTAGTGATAGCCTTTCCAAGTGGACTTTACATTGCCAGTCACAAACCCTTGAATCCAACAGTTGAGCCAACTTCTCAAACATCTTGTTGTCCACTTATCCAGTCCATATCTGATGAGCTGAGTTGAAGGATATCATGGCAGATCAACAAAAGATTTGCTAAAGACATTAAGTATAAGACATTAAGATATTAAGTATCCACTGCTCCTTCTTTGACTACAGGCCTGTTATTTCATCTAATGGGGCAATCAGGTTGATTTGACCAGGTATATATGATCTCATAAATCCACATTTGCTGTTCCAAATCACATTTTCCTCCTTCATGTGGCTGGGAACACATTCCAGGAAAATTTGCTCAGAAAACCTTCCCCGAGAGTGAGGTTAGGCTGATATATCCAGTAGCCCCCAAAGTCTCCTTCCTGCCCTTCCTCAAAATCGATATGAAGTTTGCCTTTTTCTAGCCAACAGGAATCTCCCACAATCATCATGACCTTATATTAATGACAGAATGGCTTTGCAATGACATTAGTCTCCTTTTGCAGCATGCTCAGAATGAATCCCATACAGTGCCATGTATGTCCAATTGCATTAAGCACATCCTAATTCTATCTTCCCCTGTTGTGGGTAAAGCTGCACTACTACAAACTCTGCAGAGGGACTTTGTTAGCTTGAGAGCAAGCCTTAACAGCTGAAGATCATTATTAGATGCTCTTCAGTCCACAAGGACAGATCCATGAGTCCAGTATAAACTATGTATATTGTATAAATTATTTCCTTGCTTGTGACCTGATAGATTAAAGCATCCCTCCTCCTCTTTGCCCCTCTTCTTTCAACCTTTCCTGCAACAAGCATGAAACTTGCAGTAGGTACGCAAATTAAGAGGGTGACATGATGTCACACCCCTAGTTGGGATAAAGACTGAAAACTTGAGATCTTTAGGAGATGGCATGGAAGTTACTTAGAATCATAGAATCATAGAACAGTTCAGGCTGGAAAAGACCCTTGGGATCATCGAGTCCAACCATTAACCCTACACTACAAGTTCACCCCTAAACCATAACACCCAACACCACTTGATCTGTATCACAAAGCCTAAAGTGCAAGCACAGGGAGAGAAGGAAGGAGGAGAATATAGTATGACAGGAACAGCTCACATCACCCTTGGCCACTATTCCTAACAGTGTATCTCCATAAAGTGCTGAATACAGCACACTGTTAGATTAGACTCCTATTATGAGTGACTACGACCACTTCTCTGAATATCTCTGTTTACTCCTGTGAGTTAAAATTCACATGCTTCTTTTGGATCTTTTGATCAAATCTGAGTCGTTGTGGAGAAGAAGCAGAGACATGTGCTCCCTTTCCAGAAAAAATAAACCATAAATCAAATACAGTCCTCATAAAAGCTGTACTATGGGATGCAGCTACCTGTATAGCTATTTTTCACTTGTTACAGTTATTCTCAACCAAAAAGGTTTTGTAACAATAGAAGACTGTTAGTTACCCAAAAGCAGTGTCTCTATTGTATAAATCTATCATCATTTATTTACCCATTGTTCTGCCATATTTTCACCTACTAAGGCCACTGAGAGATTTTTCTTTGACTCCACTAAGTCTAGAACTCCCCATCTTGCTTTTAGAGGAAAGACACCATGCCTTCTATTGCAGTATACTGTATCTCTGCTTTCATCTGGTCCACCTAATCAGACCCCCAAATTATTAAAAACATTTGGCTATAATAAGAATTTTAAAAAGCTACAAGGAAAATAAATGAAACCAAGGAAAGTAAAAATTTATCATTTGATTTTGAAGAACAAATCTTGTATACATACTTATGTGTACCGATACATGTGTATGCAAGTATACTGTAGATATACTTGTGTAAAAAAATCCTTAAAAATAAAGCTTAAAAATCAAAAATCTTCAATAGCCAGTGCACAGGAATCACTACATTTCATTAAGGTTTGCTGCCTCTGTTTTTACTACTTCTGTTTTACAGGTCATTGACAATATTCTCTTCAGTTACTCCATTTCTATTCTGCCTTTTTACTCAGTGTACATTTAGATCCATCCTGCAACTCTTAGAGCAGTACATGTATTCTGCTGACACTTAACACCATATCTTGAACAAACATCATATCTTGAACAGTATCTGTTCATAATTCACAATTTTGCATTGCCTGACCCACTGTTATTAGGACCAATATCAACCGAACAGATTTTACACATGCAAAATGGCAATGCAAACTAAAATATCAAATCATAATCAGCAGCTGAACATAAAATTGTGCATGAGATCCAGATTCTATTTTTTTAATCTATGTAGAATTTTATTCTATCTATAGATGACAACATAGGGTATTAATAAATATTCATAACTCAAGTGAAAGTAAAGTAAGAAACTCTCCTAACATACACCTATCTGTTTCAACTGCTCATAGTTTACTTTCGTTCTGGTCCTAATTCAACAGAAAAACATGCTATGGGTTTGGAAACATGCACAAATTAACAATGTAGTGAAACTTTCTTACATGACTTGGACTCCGGTGAAGGTGGAGAAATGTTGGACACGGCAAGGTCGCTCTTTGACTTTTTAGGCTTTTTTGCATTTACCTGCCAAGGTTTATCATAACTTCTAAAATCTCTCCTTGTTCCTTTATTTTCTGTTAAAAGAATTGAATTAGGTAATTATAACATTTGTAGGGCCATTTTTCAGAGACTTAAAAAACAATAATCCAGAAAAAACAAGACCTACCACTCCAAACCAAAGCCAGTTTTTTCACTCTCTTATTTCTGATCTATGCTAAATTTCCTACATTTTTTTCATTTCTCAAACATTAAAAATTAGAAATTCATTAATGTGCTTTTCATTAAAAACATAACATTTTTTTTTTGTTCTGAAATAGTCCTTAGGGTCCATTTATTCTGCCTATAGTTAAAACTTTATATTTGATATAAAGTTGATTTGTCAGGCAGTTAAAAGTTTGACTATCAGCAACTATTTGAAATCCATTACAGTCTGAAAAAGATCAAATACAAAACCAACATCCTAACAGTTGCTAGTGCCAGTATATCAAAGCTAAAATTCTACATAAGAATCAGAGCAGATATTATTTCAGATTTTCTTTTTATCTACAATCATAAATTATTCACACTGGAGTTCATAAAGTAGTAATAGCATCTTCTCATTCACTGTTAGAATGATGGGTTGTTAAAAAATACTTCAACAGAGGCTAATCTCAGGCACAAATATACCATGAGATGGAAAAGGAAAACAAAGCAGAGAGAAAGGGAAAGCAGAGAGAAAGGGAAAGCAGAGAGGGCAGTAGGGAAATCAAGGCACCTTTATATTCACCCTCTTTCTCACTGAGACTGGGATTATTTCCACCCTGTCACTCTGACCCATCCTCCCAATGCCAGGTACACAGGCTGAGCTTATAGCCAACAACATATATTAAACTCAGTATCTACTGGACAGAAATCATTGTGCATGCTCAAAACCACAAAGTAGTACCTGTTCAGTAGGTACACAGGCATCCAGGAAATCATGGATGAAAAGTGTGGGAAGATTATTTTGGAGACTAGCCCTTTCTGGCATACCAGGACATACCTGATGTTTCACTCTCTGCCCAAAGGGCAGCAGAGCCAGACAAGGTTCTCTGAAGCTGACTGCGGTTCCCCTGTTTGGACTGAAGATGATCAATTAGAAATGGGATTGGCTGGTCAGGTGTCTCTGTTATCAGCTTGGTCATCAACTCCTTTAGAAAATTAAAACAAAACAAAATATTAGTGGGATATCACACCTAAACTAATCTTATGCTTACCAAAAGTAAAGGAGCATTTATAAAGGAAATGTCTTTTTCAACTTTGAAGAAAACAGCTGGAAACAGCCACTCCTCATAGCTTTGCCCTATGAAGTGTTCATATCTGAAATGCTCTTATCCTACACAGTCAACTGCCCACTGGATTTTACATTAAACAATCCAATGCCACTATCTGCTCAAACTTACCCAAAACAATCTTATTACTGTTCCAGCACCTTCTCAGAGCAGCAAGTTGCTCTTTTCTGACTCACATATCCAAGTTTCCACTTGTTGGAAACAAGTGTAGCAAGAAGGTCCGTGCATTTCCGATCTCAGTCAGACACAGAACAATGATCTGGTTCGAGTATCTCCTACACCACGCACTGACACCATCTAACTGCTGTTACACACCCCGGCCTTGTGAGGCACGCTCCGTATTGCTGTTAAGGGTTCTTCCTAGTTTCCTACACTTAAAACACAGATCAGGAATGCAGAAAGAAGCTGTGGCTCTGTGCAGGGCATGTGCCCGGAAAACAAATCAATGACTAATGTGAGAACTGACCCTGAAATCCACATAGTTTCACAGGAAATCTGTGGCTGTCACTGCAAAATGAAAGATCTCCACTAAAGTAAAAAATTACAGGAATATACAACCAAATTAGGACAAATAAAAATTTGCTAAGTTATTAATAATTAAGTTATTTCTTTTCATTATACCCAAGCACAAATCTTACCATAGCTTACACACATCTAAGTCTACCTCTGCTTCATCTAGACTTCATCTAGACTGTCTCTCACCAAGGTAGGAGAAACCCTCTGATATCTTTCATAGAAAGAAAAAATCAGAAATTGGAGTAATTCATATTTTGGTTGCTTGGCAACACTTTAACAGCAACTCTTTCTTTTTTTTCCCTGCCAAAATGCAGAATTAGTGACAAGTGGATAGAAGTAATCTTCTACTTGTAGTTAACACTTTTCTTTCACAGCTATTGTGGTCCATCTGTAATAGGAGATTTGTAATTTAAATAATTTCTCTGAATCGCGGTTTGAAAATGATTTTTCTGCCTTAAATTAATAAAACCAAGATGATCATAACTGAGATACATGCATTAATGCTATTAATTTTTAAAGAAATGGATGGGTGACAATAATACATTACAAAATAAATGCAGCATTATAAAGATATTACAAAAATATGAAAAATTGTAGAATGCCGACATGTCAATGCAAGACAAATGCTGCTTGATTGTTGCCATCACTGACTTGCTTGTCACACGAAGAAATGGTCTTTAATTAACAGAAGCAGATTTATGACACTGATTACAGGATTCTTTACCTTATTGTGAGACACAGCAATAAAACCAAAAAACATAATTGCACAAAGTAAAAAAAAAAAAAAAAGACAGTGTTGAGGTGATGTGAAATTAGCTCCTATTCAAAAGGGTACTTTATTGTCTACTGTTAATATGCTGATAATAAGGCCTGAGAGATAGGGTACTGTGCTGTCCCAGAGCATAATCAGTTCTACTCTATGACAGCAATTAGAAAAGTTAAAAGAACTATAGATACAGACTGCTTTTGTTTATACGGAGTAACAAATGAGTTGTGCCAATCCTGTGCACCTAAAGAAAAAAAAACAAACAACACGTTGCTCGAAGCCTCATAAACGGAAAATAGTATGCAGTTCAAAAAAAACCAAACCCACACTTATTTGTGTAATAAACCTCAAACTGATTTGCCTGAAGCACTTTCAGAGATGCCATTAAAAGTAAATACAACTCCGACTCAACACAAAGGCGACCTAGATTACAAAACCTGCTATTTAAGGAAGACACAGCTCTTTAATATGAATATTCCCTTACAAAAGAGGGAGTGAAGAAGCTCTTAAGGATTTGCTTCTTAGCCCCAGGCAAGGTGTGAAAGCAGTCTCCAACCAACCACAGCTGCGTTCTCGAACTCCGCAGAATTTGCAGAGAACACCTCCATCGCAAACAGCAACAGCAGCGATAATCACTTCAAACTTACTTTCTGTGCAAATCCACATTCCCATGCAGGAGGTTTTACCTCATTCCACATCCTTCTGCCACACACACTGTCAGAGATCGCAGAAGTAGGATCACAACTCCATGACTAATTGCCTTTGTCCTCCTACCAAATTCTGCCACCAGTCCATCAAGAGACCTAACATCATTCACTCAGCACCCAAGTCGTGCTCTTCACGCTCTTGCTTCCTTTGAGAGTCGTGTCATCCCCAGCAAATAGACAATTGCAAGGAAATACGTTACCTGCCTGCATTCGATCGCTTGGCTATGCCTAGGGGTAGATGGGTGGGAGGGGCAAGGGAAACAAACAAAATCAACCAAACCAACAAAAAGCAAAAAACTTCATACAGGCAGTAACTGCACTCAGTGAGCACTCAGCTCATTTTTTTTAAGGCATTACAAATTAGGAATGCCTATTAGGGGTATTTTCATCTTGGCACTATTCCCTAGTAAAACTATCTTAAACTTCAGATGAAACTATCTAAACTTTATTTAATGCTCTCATCTGTTGTTTGGATGACATCTTAATAGACAGCGGGAATAACATACTACATGTTAATATAAATACATTCTTACAAGTTTGGAACGTTTAAAAAAAAATATGACAAAAGTGAGGGTATTGAATAAGAAAAATTAAAGTGTACAACAAGTTACAAAAATAAAATTCCTCTTTGGTTAGCAGCAGTCTGAGCTGACTCACAATGTGCTAAGTAGGCAAGGTTTCACAAGAAAAAGAAAAGGGAAAAGACCAACTAGTCTCAATGAAGCCGCCTCTGCATTAACAGCACAAGATCATTGCAACTGAGATCCATTTCTTGATGAAATATTCAGCAGATAAGTTTCAACTATGCATGAAAATATAAATGCAAGACACGTATCTCTTAAAAATATTAGCTATACTTGTTCCCTCTCTAGCTAAAATTTCTAAGTTTTCTACTTGTTCTCATTTTCACCTAATTCAAGTAAGAAAAGTAAAAATTTATCTACCTATTTTTTATTCTTCTGTGCATGGTATGCCTTATAACAAACACAAAGTCACAGCAGATTTGGTCTCTCCATGCTAATGAACTGCTCAGTATCAATAAACTCCTATATTCTTCCCACTGCTATGTCTTCCTTTCGCTCTATGTCCTTTTGTCTTTTCTATCACTGGGACTCCCCTCAGTTGTGTGACAAGGGAAGAAGCCTGCTCAGTAGCTGTGCACCCACAAGAGACATTGCAGCACAAAAAAGGGGTGAAAGGAATCTTCCATGATTAGTATAGACTAGAGCACAAAACCAATCATTTCTGCTGCTTCCACACTGTATTACCCCAAATTAGGTTCCACCTTGATCAGACTGGTAAAGAATGGGCAGAAATGTGATATAAACTCCAGAAAAACTGGCAGTTAACTCCTCCAAGGACTGGATTTTACCTTACACTGTGCAAACCAAAGTTGAAACCACGCTTTCACATTCACTAGTTTTCTTAAACTATGTAAGATATACTGTTTTAAAAGAAACTTGCAAAATTTAATCTGGGGATGTTTCCAAGAGAGAAATTTATGCACATATTGATAAAGCTGCAAAAAATCTTGAAAAAAAACAGGTCTAAACTAGCGACTTATACATTAACTCTTTATAAAGACAATAACTTGCACTATTGTGCTATCTTGAGGTCCTCTATTAGTTATTCAACGCAGGCTCAAATTTTAATTTAATTGTGACTCTCCATGCATTTAATGCAAATGAAACCGTCTTCACAGTCTATTAATCATAGGCTCAATTACAAGAGAGCTCTAATTAGCTATGTCTAAACATACCTGTCAGGTTAATAAGCTAATTAGGAGACATTCTACCTTGCCCTGTAACTGATAACAATAACTACACAACAATCACAGGATTTGTTCTTAACTATATAGACTTCTACAGCAGAGTGAGCGCAGATTTTGTCTGTATTATGCTCTCATTTCATGGTTTAGATGTTTAAAGCAGGTAGGGTAATTGCCCTCAAAAGACGTCTGTTTGGTCAGAGAAAGCAGAGACTAGGTGCCTTAGATTAAACTACAAGGTTTTGATGGGATGCAGTTCCAAATTAAGATAACTGAACACTGAAGTCTTCACAGTGATGTCAATGGTGATCTTGTCAACGAAGTAGTCAAGGGAGCCTAGAGAGCTCCCAGTTGACTTGCCAGTGTGCATCCACTCGTGATAAGCAGAATTGCTCTCCAGGCTCCACTGACTGTATTGTCTATATATGCATTTACTACATCAGAGTTTGGACACTTAGAAGACAGGCAGACATCTAGATTTACATTTGCTAAACATTTCATATAGGCTGTAAGCAAACAGAGAAGATGCAAAATTGAGTGAAAACTTGTGGAGGGGATGTAAGTTTAATAAAAGTTTTAGTGATTGAGGCATTTTTTTCTTTAGAATTCCTCTCTGAGTTCTCCAGTAATAAAGCAGGGAAATAGATTTCTTAAAAAAATTACAGTGTATTTCAACATTATTCTTAGCAGCTAAAATAAGTCTGCAATTCTTAAATGAGAGCAGAAATGTAAACATCACTGCTTATACCATAAAAGACTATTTACCACTGAAATAAAAGAAAAATAGCGGCATCATTTCAAAAAATATCTAGGCTTTAAATCACCTCATGCAATTAAGAATTAAAAGAAGAAACCTGCATTATAGACTATAATCAAAATGGACTTCCAACATATTTAAAACGTCATGAAATTATCACCCCCTCTCCCTATGAAACAAACACAATTTGCATGCCTGGCCGATACTAGTTGTGTTAAATTAACCAAGGTGGAAAAAAATTTGAGAACAAAGATCTATAGGATTAGTAGTATTATTCAACTTGTTTGTGAAAATATTTAGATTTTTACCTAGAATTGATGAAAAAAATTTCAGTCAACTCTATTCAAAGCCACAACACTACTCATTCTCACCATTTCAGCAAGCTATGCAGCTAAATTTAATATCACAAAAATGCAGTACACAGCATGGAACACATCTCACAAATAACTTACTTACAACTAAAAAGAAAGTCCAAAGCTGATATGGTAACGTGATATTATGGTGCAAACAAAATTCCCCTAACAGTGGCACTGTTATGGAAATCTACAATATGGGACTAGTGGCACAGGTAACATTTTCAGACTCAGACTGCTACTACCATTCAAAGTCTTAAACTGCTTTTTTCACATCTCAAATCAAGGTAATAACCCTGACATACAAAAGTGGCAAACTTTTGGTTCATACAATGCAAATAATAAGGAGCTTGAAAACAAATATCATTGAATAGTTAACAGACCTCCTTAAATGTTCATCTGTTAAATATCTGTACCAATTCAATAACAGAAGACCAATGTGGGGAGCCATGTTACTAACCATATGTTTAGGGAACCTCCGAAGAGCAGAATGGAAATAACGTATTCTTTCCTCTAAAAACACTTCGCAAATCAGGTAATCAGTTCCCTAAGTTTGATGAACTAATCCTGTCTGATACAAATCCAACTCATGAATGTAATAGTCGATAAAATATGCATCACTGATCTTCCTCAGTAATCCAGAAAAAAAAACACCTTTTGCATAGATGAGGACTGGTGGATAATTCCAAAGTTTCACTGAGTAAGCTCATGAGAGTTTACCAAACTCTACCATGCACTTCATAACACGCAATATCTACCTGAAGCTCTTGCTGTATTTTTCACTTATGTATCCTTTGAGAGTTTTTTCCTCCTATTTTATTCTTTATATTTCTAATATCCTTGTCCCAAACATATTATACCACTTCTGAGTTCACAAAATTGATTCAAACACCTTTGCTTTTTGGCTTTATTAGTGAAAGACCTCCTTTCTCCCACTCAGTCATTTCAGACAAGAATGTTGTCAAAACCTAGGTCACTAGTACTAAGTTAGCTAAAACATTAACTACTTCTCAGTAAAAGAACAAAAGTTTGAAGACATGTTCACAGATATGGCAAGCATCTCAACAGTTATCAACTTTTCTACAATAGTTTATGCTTCTTCCAGCAGTCTTGTATTTCTGCATAACATCATGCTTGTGGAATTATGCCTACCATATCGTTATCTGAACTCAGCAAGGATTTATCAAACAAGGGTAGTTCATGTTATAGCAGAAACACTGTACGATTTCCCTGAAGCATAATTCAGAAATCTTCCTCAGTTTCCATCCACTCTATCAACCAGAAGAAATTCTACACTTAAGTCAAGGCACCTCAAAGTTCAACCAAGAAAAAAAATGAAAACTACTGGTTTTCTGAAAGGTCTGTACATTTTCCATCAAAAGGAATCTGCATAGGTAAAGGCTAGGAAAGACTATTACAACCTGGACTGATTTCCTTAAATTACAGCCATAAAAGAGCACTGACTGCACATTCCTGCCTTTCCTAAAAGCTAACTCAACAGACTAGAGCTGATCTTTCTCTGATCAGCTGAAGTAATCTTAGTCCAATTTCAAGGTGTAAGGTGAAGCAACTTTACTGCAATTGTTAAAGAAATCGCATTGTATTTCCAGTTTAAACTTCACTGACTTAGCTTCTATCTACTTGGCAAATTTTCTTTCATGAGGTAGGGTGCTATTAGGAACTAAAGCAGTAAGTATTTTTGTAGCTAGCTCTAGTGAGTTAAACTCAGCCAGCAGCTAAGCACCTACTCAGTCACTCCCACCCCCAGCGGGACAGTGGACAGAATGAGAAGAGGAAAACCAAGAAAATCTCATGGGTCAAGATAAAGGATAGTTTAATAACCAAAAGGAAGAGGAAGAAAAACCACCATACTCAAACGAGTGATGCCAAGGCAATTACCACTTAAGACTTCCCAGCACATTCCCAAGCAATGGCTACTTCACAAAATTTAGCCTCCAGTTTTTATTGCTGAGTATGACATTATATGCCAAGGCATATCTCTCTGCTCAGGATGGGTCAGCTG